AGGCTGACGTTTCGGGCCTAGACCCTAAACGTCAGCCTCTCTGCTCCTATGATGCTGCTTGGCCTGCTGTGTTCATCCAGCCCTGCACCTTGTTGTCTCTAATTGTTTTCCCTGGTCTGCTGCTGATTCTTTTCCTCAAAGATTTCATTCTGTAACTCTAACATATCTCCAACACTGCCACCATGGTTTGATTTGATCCTTAGGGTTAAGCTTCCAGGAGGTTTGCAACGTCAGATTTGGTCTTGCTCTGCTGAGAGACTGATCTCTTAGATGTACTGTCTCCACTCTTAGTGTCCTGCACCTCAGTCTCTACTTTACCCAAGACCAAGTTATCTGACTCTCAGGAGTCCCAGCTAACATTTTTTTAAACACACTATTATGCATCTCACAGATCTTTGTAATACAGATTTATAACAGAGGTCAGTCCACCCTGTCTTCTCAGTCTGGAAAGCATGTGACTGCTGATGTCAATGTTACATCATCTTACATATTATCATGTCATAACATATGCCTTCTCATTATATTGCAAACTTTTTATTTTGGCACCTATGGGATCAGGATTGTACTGCTGATTAAATATTCTGGTTGAACATGAGGTACATATAACTGATGTAAAAACACATTAGTGTTTTACTTTATTTACAGCCTACATCCCTTAAATAATAATGCAACTTTGTCTTAAATATAACGTACTAGCAGAAAACCTTCTCATATGCACCCTCAACTGACCACTCAGATATTGCAGAGATCGCGATAATACAGTAAACGTCCAGTCTTTCTGGTATATAATTTTTGCCGCTTTATCGCGAGAGCCAATTCACAAGGTTCCCGTTATACTGTATTACAACTTAGATGCCAAAGAACGATGTACAAACATCAGGAAAATATATCTTACATTACTAGCTACAAGATAAAACTGTTCAAGTTTAATTATTCAGATTTGTTTCACATAGCTGTAAAAATTGTTGTATTACAATGTAACATTCTCTTTACCTCTGCATTGCCTCTGCAGGGTATTATTACAGCTCATAGCCCTTCAATAATAATTTCAGATGTTGTCTTCAAAACCTACAAAAGTTTTAATTGCCAAAATCTGGCTGTTATTTTTATCACTCCGATTTCAAAAACTTGGCATCTTCAAGTTAGCTCCTGCTGTGGTCCTTTTTTTGACTCTGCAATTACAGATAGTTTGCTCCTCATCTTGGTCCTTGCCTGCATAGTTCACACTCCAAAGTCAACTTTCTCTGCTGTTGTTTGTGATGTTACTGTGGTTGCCATAGACTAATGGTAACTCAGGCTATAGGTCTCTTGTAAGCCTATTAAAACTATATTCATCAGCATGAATTGTAGTAGGAGTTTCTGGCTAATGGACTCCTGAAAATGGGATTAAAAGATAAAAATAAAGTGATTAAGATATAGCTCGGTCGAACAGATAACCACATAATGCCACAATAAAGGAATTTGATACTTGCATAAACCACGTTTACTTCAGAGAAGAAATCTTTTAGTTTCAATGTCTGCACACAAAGCATATTGTAATATTCAAATTTAATAGCATATCTCTTTGGCAACAGTACATCTAAGTCTATGTTGTCAAGCATATAATCTCCCATTAGCCAAAATCACCAGGCAGCACTTAAAATAGAATTTAAGAGGAAAATACATATTAAAGATACTTTGATATATTTCAATGGAATGAGAGGAAATTTAACCAGGGTAAGTCAGAAGCAAAGACTCGCAGGTAAAATCATAATGGAACAATGACTGACCTTAATCGAACCTGTACCTGAAACATCTTTCTACATTCCAAAATGGGTAAAATGTGGGATAACCAACGGCAGGGCTCCTGTGGCATTTGTATTGTGATTCATCAGGAAGAAATTTGTTAAAGCTGAAGCCTGAATAATAGAGCCAGATACAGGCATGTCACAAGTTTTTCGCTTGGTGAACCACCTATGTACGACCTTGTTAAGAGGTATGTGTTGGTACTTTAGATTTTCCTACTTGTCTGGCCACCTTCTACATCTCCATCAGCATTCTTCTCAAGTTCTCCTCAACTGTAAGTAACCCATGAAGCATTAATTCAGTTGTTCTAGCTCGTTGTGAAATGGGTACCTGTGTAACACCTTTGTTGAGGTGGGCAATGATTTTTCAGCTTCTCCGAGATAGTGTGGGATTTCATCTTCTGTAATTCAGGCCCCATAATTTTGTACTAATTCAAGTATGACCCATAATGCAAGCTGGGCCGGTATTTATGTAAGAAAAAAGACACTCAATTAGGCATGAGGCTGCCATCTCATTGGTTGGTATCAATAATTTGTGGAGCATTTATTGTTCAACAATGTTATGACATGCATTCAGAAATAATAAATTTAAATGAAATTTTTTAGGTTCATGATGGACCTACATTATCCCAAATTCTGTGCTACAAATGGACCCTTATAGGAGGTGGGTGTGTGTGTGGGGTTGGGGTTAGGTGTTTCAATATTATACCAATATTAGCCAGTTTCTAGCAATTAAGAAAAAGGATTATTGTTTATAAGATTTTATGAGGTTGCCAATAGAGCCCTTGAGCTTGGAATAATAAGCTTCATTTTAAGAGCCATAAAGATCTGCAAATGGATGCAATTAGTAGAAACTTGCAATGATGAGTTCAATCTGTAGGAGTGTCTGATTCTGTGGGTTCTACTGCAACATTTTGGAAACACATGCAACAGACAAAAACTTGATTTATACAAAGATAATTTGTATTTAAAGTCGACGATCATTTGTGCTGGTTTGTTCTGGATTGCAGGCAAATTGCACAGAGCCGCAAAGTAATCCAGCAGAAACTCCAGGCTACAGATGTTTAAGTATAGAAATTGGCATTGATATGTGAAATCATTTGGAGTGCTAAATGGTTTTTGCAGTGACTAGAACTAAACTCTTTTGTCCTTGCTGGAATTCAAATCAAAGTATTTGTAATTCTTTTCAAGTCAGTCTGTCATTTGAATCGAAGGTAATTATTTACTCATAAGGCAAAACATGCTATACATGTGTCTTACTGGAAAGCTGTTGTACTTCAATGCAAAGTAATTGTTTTCTTAGAGATAGTAGGAACTGCTGATGCTGGTGAATCTGAGATAAGAAGGTGTAGAGCTGGATGAACACAGCAGGCGAAGCAGCATCAGAGGAGCAGGAAAGCTGACGTTTCGGGTCTGGACCCTTCTTCAGAAATGGAGGAGGGGAAGAGGATTCTGAAATAAATAGAGAGAGATGGGGAGGCAGATGGAAGGTGGATAAAGGAGCAGATGGGTGGAGAGGAGACGGACAGGTCAAGGAGGCAGGGATGGAGCCAGTAAAGGTGAATGTAGGTGGGGAGTTAGGATGGGGGTTGGTCAGTCAAGGGAAGATGAACAGGTCAAGGAGACGGGGATGAGGCTGGTAGGTGAGTGAGGTGGGAGGAGCGGATAGGTGGGAGAAAAGACGGACAGGTCAAGGAGACGGGGACGAGCTGGGCTGGTTTTGGGATGAGGTCGGGGATGGGGAGATTTTGAAGCTTGTAAAGTCCACATTGAGGCCATTGGGCTGCCGGGTTCCCAAACAAAATATGAGGTGCTGTTCTTGCAATCTTCGGGTGGCATCTGTAGGAGGCCCAGGATGGACATGTTGTCCAAGGAGTGGGAGTGGGTGTTGAAGTAGTTCGCAAATGGGAGGTGCAGTCGTTTGTCGCGAACTGAGCATAGGTGTTCCACAAAACAGTCTCCAAGCCTCCTAATTGCTTTCTTACTAGTTTTGTGCAGTTATTGCAATATGCCAAATGCCGAACATGGTCTCATGGAACAGTTACCTCACATGAAATAGTCTAATTTGTAATATTTCAGTTGATAAATATATTCAGTCAACTGCATTGTTCTAAACATAAGACACCAATGAGATTGTTTTCATTTGAATGTATGATATATATATGAATCTGTATTTAATTTCAAAACTTGAGAAGCTTTAACTAAAATACCTATGCCTTTAGAAAGACATGAAGTAAACAGTAAATGTTGCTTCTTCCTTTAGTTTCTCCCATTTTATCTGGTGACAAAATGCTGACTGATCACCCCTTCACTAGGCAGGCACCAACTCTAAATTCAATTCTGCTGTATTTAGGTTTCTCACATTGCATCTCCTCCTTCGACACCAGGCCGCCTACATCTCCCTCCTCCTGGCAACTCCATCTTCACCACTTGCCTCAGCACCTCTCCTCTCCCTCTCTGGATCAGATGATTTCAATCTCTTTTTGCCAGCCCCCTTTCCTCTCTGATGCTCCTCACTGACTCCCTCTTCTATCTTTGTTCACAGGTCTTCTTCATTTATAAGTCAATTAAGTTATAGGCGCCACTGCTCTTTAATTTCATCCTCTTTCACTAAGGTACTTAACCTGCATTCTTGATTGTATGAATATTTCCAACAGCTTTTGTTAATCTATCTCTAGCAGTTGCCATTTTGATGTCTTTTTGCCTGGCTTTGATGTCCAAACTTCTGTTTATTTCTTCCATAGTTGGGGAATTTTCTCTAGTAGTTATTTGCTTTGCATTTCCTCTAGCCTTTTTTATGTGGTTTGTTTATCTTCTTTGAGCTCCAACTACTTTGACAGGCCCTTTTTCATTTGACTGAACCTTCTGTGTATTCTTTCTACCGTGAAGTTTCTTTTCTGGCCCTTCTCCTCCCTGATGATCTTTCATGCATTTCTTTGTGAGCTTTCCTAATAACATTCAGCAAAGGGTTCCACCAATGTTCCATGATGTTTTATATTTCTCTTGGTTGTCTCTGTGACAGCTCTCTGAATCCTTCCCTTTCCCTTTTAGATCTTTCAGTTTCTACCAGCTGATGTTCTGTCTACTTCTTGGTCACCTGTTCTTTGTGCTTTCTTCTTTAGTCATACTTGTCCACTGGATGGTAATGCTTGCTCATTTCTCACAGGGTTCAGGTTGAAACCTGTGACTTGCGTGTCACTTTCAGTTGAGCCCTAGGTGCCATTTCTGATCAAATCAACCACTTTTTGGATTTGGCAGGTGGTTTTACAGTCAGATGCCCTTCCTGCCTCAAACTCTCTCTGACTATCACATCTGGGACTGGTCCTGATACATGTTGGCTTACCTGCATTAGAACCGTAGTTACCCTGGGAATCAATAAATGGCATCAAACTCAGACAAAGCACATACAACTTAGCTCAGGTCTACAGATCTTTACAAGTACCTTTAATTATCTTGTTATTAACCTTTATGGTTCTTTGAATGTGGTGAACTGTGTGTTCTAAAATTCAGCCAACAGATAAATCTAATTTGATATGCCATTCTGTACCATTCAATTAGACTGACGGACTAAATGTATATTGTACAAAATATATACCTAGGATGTAGCCACCATCCGTTCACTATAACAAAAAAACTTGTCAGAACACATTTCTATGATAGACAGTTTTTATTGTAAATGTGGTATCTATGTAAGTATGTAACACTACAGTTGACTATCCACCAATATCCCTCTCCACCTCAGTTCAATAAAGGTAATGCTCCAATACCTCAGTTATGATCATAGGACTACAACACAGAAACAGGTCTTGTGGCCCAGTCATTGAGTTCTTTTGTTTTTCCTTCATATGCATCAGTGCTGATCTCATTTGCCCGGTAAGGTCCCCATCCCTTTACTATTTCTTTCTTCAAATATGATTAATGCTCTTACTCCTCAGCCTGAACTGCCAGAAACACCCAGTGCTTCAGCCATCTTTACTTCTTTATTTCCAAAATTGTTGTATGTTTTACTATTTAAATATAAGAAATATAAAATCATAATGTTATACAAATATATGAATCAAAAGCAGGACTAGGCCATTCAGCCCCTAAGTCTGCTCTGCCATTCATTAAGATCATGCCTGAAATGATGGTAACCTCAAATCTGCATTCCCACCTAGCCCTGATAACTTTTCAACCCCTTACTTAACAAGGATCAATCTACCTCTACCTTAAAAATATTCAAGGACATTGCTTTCACAACCTCCAAAGACTTTCAAAGACTAGCAACTCTGAAGGGAAAAATGCTGAGCTTCTGTTAACTTGTTTCTGATTTGTGCATAGTGGCTATCTGGATGCAAATTGCATAATTATGCTAATTTTGAGGAGTTTCTTTCTCAAATTTTAGCTCAAACACATGTATATTTTCAAACACCTTTGAATGGAAGAGCTTAGAATGGAATTTAAAACAAACCTTCTGCTTTGTAAAAAGTCCTTGATATGTTTAAGAGTGATAACCAGATTAAGTTTTATTAATGCAGTTAAAAATTGGTTTATCGCTAAATATAAGCATTTCCTTACAGTGTCTAATATGCCTTCTTCAGGAACACAATTTTAATAATTGAACATGACTTCATATCATATAGTCATATCATAACATCAGTTCCATAGTGAATTTTTAAAAGTGTTATACTCAAAACTTCTAAAATATTCCTATTATCACTGTGACTACAACAAGTAACTTATTTCTAGAGCCTCCATGAAGGCTTGCAAATTACCACAAATAGTCACAATTTGCAATGGTGTTTAATTCTATATGGATTGTAGTCAACTCTATGCGAACGGCTAAATTCTGGCAAAATGTTTTCTAAATGAGTGCCAAAAATTGCAGAATCTTCAGTTGTGCTGAGTGTAATTTGTGCTTAAATTTCACAATCTTTTTAACAATTTTAAGGAATTACACTGAAGATAAAATGTGATTTGGTAGAAAGTCCGGGTCAGTACATCTCTCATTATATTGAGGACTGAACTATGTCTTGCCTTGATTTCTCTCTAACCCTGCCTCATATGGAGGATATAACTTGGTCTTCATTCTGAACAGTTTTGTGGGAGGTAAACTAGCGTAGTCACTGACT